CCCCAAAACCCCAAAACCCCAAAACCCCAAAACCCCTTAAATAATTTTAGAACTGGAAATTAGAATATTAACTAATAAACAAATGCAAATGGACAGTAAGCAAGTTAATTTCCTCTTTACTAACTCAGGAAGAGCATTATTATAGAAAACATAACAATTGACAGAAGAAATCTCGCAAATGTATTCAAAATGTAATTCATGACTATTTTCTCCTCTCATCATACATAATAGGAAGAAGTCTCAGAACAAGAGAGAAATATTTACCCCCAAAATAGCTTATTCCAACCATCAAACTCTAATAGAAAAGTAAGTTTCAGGTGTAAAATTGAGAATCAAATTGTTTCAAAATGTTCACTCCAATTAACTTAACTTTTGGCTAAACTAGTAATCATACCATAAATTTACAATAAATAATGCCTGAAACAGATACAAAAATCAAACCAAATTAAGCCAGGGTTTAACAGTTACCTGAAAGAATTCTTTCCAAAAAAGAAAATAAGCAAGCCAAAGAGTGAGAGAAAGCGAAGTTTACTCCAAAGTCAAAGGAGAGGATCTCAAGATTTCTGACAAACAATGACTCCGGTACAGCCTAAAATAGTAGAGTATAAAGTATTTTTGTGACATTTAGAACTCCGAATCTCCCTCTTGTGCATCAACCCAGAAATTTACCACCTGGTTCTCAAAATTATGATCCAAAGACCTTTTGAAACTCTGATAAATTTTTCATAGCTAAGAAATAAGGTTGGGAATTTTATTAAAACCTTTAATGGTACGTTGAGATATCATCAATATATTTCAAAAGTCCCTAATGATCCTATAGCGCCTGTAAAAATTAACCACAATAAAAAGTCTAAAAGAGTTACTGAAGAACTAAAGGTCAGAACATTAGTCTGTGACCCAGAAACACACAAACTGACACAGTTTCATTCAAATTGTACTGCATCTCTTCATACCCCAAACAAGTAATCCAAATTCTAAAAATATAGGCTTAAAACAACCCCATTCACTAATATCAAGCCTGTAAGGTCAATGCCGAAGCCAGGCCTATACTTGAAAAAGAGAGGAGGAAAGACTGTGAGCTCCAAAGCCTCGTATAACGCCACTCCCAAACCTTCGAGTCCTGTAAGCCGTACCTGTGAAATTTTTCCTCACAACCTCTAGAAAATGAAACCCACTAATATGGACAAATTTTAACAAAGTTATGAGCTTCAAGCTTTCAAACAAACTAGATGACATGATGGACAAAGTAACTCGTCTCAAGAGAACATTGAAAGGGGCCCAGCGAGGCCGTAATAACTCAAGTACTCATCTCTGTCTCATCCATAGCTAACTGAAGAGAAAGGAAAACTGGTATTCTTATCAAAGATGATTTTATCAAGCAAATGAGGTCTCCTAATGTCAGAGTAACGTTTAATCTTCCTGATGAGGATTAGAATATGTAGTATTGTTGCCCTCTTTGAATACAATATTTTCAACCTTGTTATTATAACCAGGGGTTTTGGGGTTTTGGGGTTTTGGGGTTTTGGGG